ATAGTTGGGACTATAGAACAGTCTATATAGAATAGTCTATAGGCGAGACTATAGAATAGACTATAGTCGAGACTATGGAACTGTCTCTAGTCGATACTATAGAACAATCGAGACTATAAAACAGTCTATAGGCGAGACAATAGAACAGTCTATAGTCGAGACTATAGAACTCGAGTCTATAGAACAGTCTGTAGTCGAGTAGTCGTCTTAAAATTTATATTTTTATAGAGAATTTTCTTTTTATAGCCAATTTGGAATAAATTTTATATTTTTTTTTAAATTTCTTTTGCTCTAGTTTCTTCTTTACTTTTTTACCAACCTTTTTCTTTTTTTGGTTTGAGGTATTTCTTTGATTTCCAAAGTGTTGCAATAAATGTTATTTAAACTGACACTTAAACGAAAACTTTTTATATATACTTTTTATACTTTAAAATATATATTATAGAAAATACAAAGTTTTAAATTGAGGTTAAAATATTTTGTATATTGATTTTTGTTTCACTTAACCCATTGTAGTATTCTAGTTATAAAAATAACTAAAAAAACAATATACATATTTAAAGAAAATCTAAGTGTGAGTTAGAAAAGTGTTTGAGAATTTAGAAGCTTATAGTGGATTAATGTTTAACTCTTTTGCCTTGGTCTACTTGTCTAGAGATTTACATTTAAGTTTATAGATATTTTTGTGAAACAAAAAATAATTCATTTTATAACATTTCATTTCTTTTTCTTTAGTTTTTGGACCACAATGATGTTTTGCAATGACAGCAATAATATGAATTTTATTAGCATCAATAAAACTTTAAGACAAGAGGTAAGTAATTTAAGAATATAACAAAATTTTAGTAAAAATATTATTTTATCAAATTTTTTTAACGCCTTAAATTATGCAATATATTTCTTACACAATCTAACGTATTAAGTATACTACAATTTAGAAATAAACTTTAAACTATTGTTAAAGAAGAGACACAATGGTAGTAATGCACTTACTATAGTTTTTCAGGTATAAATCCTCAAAACAATAAGATTCTTTTATTATCTTCCACATATATACAAAGTCATTCCTTCTTTATCAAAAAACACATACATACATACGTACGTAGTTTAAAGACAATTTTACATTAAATGATACTAAGAATATGTACTTTTAGTAAAACTACAATCCCTCTTAGAACTACAACAACTCAAACGAAAGTAAATGTATTGTTGTCATAACTACTCTAATAATAGATGATAACTGATGGATGAATGGTTGGTATCTAGAGTTAATACAGTTTTTAAGTTGTTATCCACTAACTTTTTCCTGTTTCTAACATTTTACGGATTGTTTTCATACATGAAGAGTTTAGTAAGTAACTTTAATCCTTTTGTCATATATAATACATACTTACTACTTCATAAATAGTATTTCCGTTGTCTTTCTTTTTCAAATCCTGTAATATTTTCTTTTACTTCTGTTTCCTTTTATTCATTACTTACGAAAAATAACTATTTTCATTTTATCATAATTTTCGTCTTTGATAACTGTGCTGCTTTTTTTTTTGTAATTGCGTAGAAAAAGTAAATCTTACTTCTGGTAGATTTTGTTTCGAAATTGATTAAAAATGTAGTTTTGTTGGAAAAGTTTTATCTTAATTTGATACTTTGTTGTTGTTGTTTTTAATTTAAATTTTATTAAAAATTTTAAGATTCGACTATAAAGTCGTATACAGAGTCGACTATATAGACAACATTGAAGGCGATTATAGAGTCGACAATAGAACCCACAGTAGAATCGACTATAGAATTCAGATTATAATCGATAATAAAGTAGACTATAGAGCTGACAATAGAGTCGACAATAGAATCGATAGACTTTACATTCGACAATAGAGAATATATATTAGAGTCGGTCTACCACGCGCCTCTGAAGAAGAACTCAGGTGGCAATTTTTCTAGAGATGTATTTGGTAGTCCGAAATACCCAGCCAATAAATCCGTATCCCTCTGTATGTCAGATAATGTGACAAAGGATGTAGAAATTTCCAAAGTTAATTCGAACCCAATAAGTGCCCCGACGAGTTGAGGGAACGGACCTCAACCATATGTCGCGTAGCATGAAACAATATGAATCCTGTTAAGATGGCAAAAGCACCGAGTACTTCCCTGAAGTAAAAGATTTACTAAATTAGTACTAGTCTCCTGTCGGGCTGAGGAGTCTTTCCCGATCGTTAATCAATTACATCAGTTCCATTCTCAGACTATAAAGAACGATCTACGGAATAATAGGCTACTACCAAGTGTCAACCTGAAAATTCCCCAACATGCACTGGCGCTCTACTACGAGATACTTATCATCAAGGAAACATGCCGCGAGGGCGGGACTATAGAGTCAATAGGAGTCTGAACTATAAAGTCGTCTATAGAGTCCACAATAGAGCCAACGGCCGAGTCAACGATAGAGTATACGAAAGAGTCTATAATAGACTAGAGTATTGAGTCGATATACTCCACTATGGAGTTTTCTAAAAAAAAAAATTTCTATAAAAAAAGAAAATTTATCGAAAATTTTCTATAAAAAAGAAAATTTATGGAAAATTTTCTATAAAAAAAGAAAAATTATCGAAAATTTTCTATAAAAAAGGAAAATTTATCGAAAATTTTCTATAAAAAAAGAAAATTTATAGAAAATTTTCTATAAAAAAAGAAAATTTATGGAAAATTTTCTATAAAAAAAGAAAATTTATCGAAAATGTTCTATAAAAAAAGAAAATTTATCGAAAATGTTCTATAAAAAAAGAAAATTTATCGAAAATGTTCTATAAAAAAAGAAAATTTATCGAAAATGTTCTATAAAAAAAGAAAATTTATCGAAAATTTTCTATAAAAAAAGAAAATTTATCGAAAATTTTCTATAAAAAAAAAGAAAATTTATCGAAAATTTTCTATAAAAAAAAAGAAAATTTATCGAAAATTATATATAAAAAAAAGAAATTTTATGGAAAATTTTCTATAAAAAAATAAATTTCATGGAAAATTTTCTATAAAAACAGAAATTTTATCGAAAATTTTCTATAAAAACAGAAATTTTATCGAAAATATATCGAAAATTGTCTATAAAAACATAAACTTATCGAAAATTTTCTATAAATAAAGAAAATTTATCGAAAATTTTCTATAAAAAGGAAAAATTTATCGAAAATTTTCTCTAAAAAATAAAAATGTAAAATGAAAAAGTTGGTATAAAAGGAACATTTTTTGTTTCTTTTTTTATTATAATCTCCCAGATGATCCTGGTTGCAAGAATTAAATCACATATGCAATGCTATTACTCCTTATAGAGGAATTATACTTTTCTTTTGCTATTTTTTAAGTTTCTCTTTTCCACACTTCCGCCACAACTATAGGAATCGGTGTGTGTTGCATACAACTTTCATTATTATTGTCATCAGCAGCTGCATCATCATTTGTATTCTGTTCTTCCTATTTCCTTTATCTTGGTTGGTTTTTTTTTCCTTACATTAAGCTTAAAGCTATATTTTTACAACTTTTTTTCTGGGTTTTACTAACTTGACTTTATAAATTACATTTTTACTTTATTTTTCATTTCTATTGTATGTTTTTATCTAACATTGATTATTTCAGCAATATCAGCAAATAAACTAAAGAAGTTACATATAGTTAAAGAAGATTTTTTTTATATTGCTCAAGAATTATTGTTGCAACAATGTTCGATTTCTTCAAACTGTGGTTGGGGCTTGGTGGGATTGGAGCATTTCTTTATTAAGACAATAATGAAAACGAAATGTAGTTTCTAGTGACCTACACTTTTTGAGGTTGACATAGGATTTCAATAATTCAATGAAATCCTTTTTTATTCTTCTTTTCATGAAAGAAGTGTCGAAATGACGACTTATTAAAGATAAACTATTCTAAATCTTAATTTCTAGCATTTGCTTAAGTGGACAAATTTGTTTTGGTCTACTATATCTTAATGAAATGAGTTTTATGTAAATTAGTTAAAAATCTATTTATCTTTTATCGTAGCATGCAAAACCGTTCGCTTAAAACTTAGAAAACATTGAACATTTCCTTTTAGCGACAGCAAGTTTCTTATCAAGTGATTTTTAATTAGAAAAAAATGAAGTAAAATCAAATCCTCAATTACATTGTGGTCTTCGAGCAATCATTACGACTAAGAAAACAAACTCTATGAACTAAATAATTGGAAAATTTTTTTTCATTTCTTAAGGCTTAAAATAAAAACTGAACCAAATGATCTTGTAACTCAAATTATAAAAGAAAATCATAACATAATTTGAGATTTAAGGTTTGGTGATGTTTCCACGGATATTGGGTTAGTGCGTGTAGGAGTTAAGCGCTCGACTATAGACAGTTCTATAGCCTCAACTATAGACAGTTCTATAGTCTCAACTATAGACAGTTCTATAGTCTCAACTATAGACAGTTCTATAGTCTCAGCTATAGACAGTTCTATAGTCTCAACTATAGACAGTTCTATAGTCTCAACTATAGACAGTTCTATAGTCTCAACTATAGACAGTTCTATAGTCTCAACTATAGACAGTTCTATAGTCTCAACTATAGACAGTTATATAGTCTCAACTATTGACAGTTATATAGTCTCGACTATTGACAGTTCTATAGTCTCGACTATAGACAGTTCTATAGTCTCGACTATAGACAGTTCTATAGTCTCGACTATAGACAGTTCTATAGTCTCGACTATAGACAGTTCTATAGTCTCGACTATAGACAGTTCTATAGTCTCGACTATAGACAGTTCTGTAGTCTCGACTATAGACAGTTCTATAGCCTCGACTATAGAGAATTCTATAGTCTCGACTATAGACAGTTCTATAGTCTCGACTATAGACAGTTCTATAGTCTCGACTATACACAGTTCTATAGTCTCGACTATACACAGTTCTATAGTCTCACATATAGAGAGTTCTATAGTCTCGACTATAGAGAGTTCTATAATCTCGACTATAGACAGTTCTATAGTCTCGACTATAGACAGTTCTATAGTCTCGACTATAGACAGTTCTATAGTATCGACTATAGACAGTTCTATAGTCTCGACTATAGACAGTTCTATAGTCTCGACTATATACAATTCTATAGTCTCAACTATATACAGTTCTATAGTCTCGACTATATACAGTTCTGTAGTCTCGACTATATACAGTTCTATAGTCTCGACTATAGACACTTCTATAGTCTCGACTATAGACACTTCTATAGTCTCGACTATAGACACTTCTATAGTCTCGACTATAGACACTTCTATAGTCTCGACTATAGACAATTCTATAGTCTCGACTATAGACAGTTCTATAGTCTCAACTGTAGACAGTTCTATAGTCTCGACTATAGACAGTTTTATAGTCTCGACTATAGACAGTTCTATAGTCTCGACTATAGACAGTTCCATAGTCTCGACTACAAACAGTTCTATAGTCTCGACAACAAACAGTTCTATAGTCTTGACTATAGACAGTTCTATAGTCTTGACTATAGACAGTTCTATAGTCTCGACTATAGACAGTTCTATAGTCTCGACTATAGACACTTACATAGTCTCGACTATAGACAGTTCTATAGTCTCGACTATAAACAGTTCTATAATCTCAACTATAAACAGTTTTATAATCACAACTATAAACAGTTCTATAGTCTCGACTATAGACATTTCTATAGTCTCGACTATAGACAGTTCTATAGTCTCGACTATAGACACTTACATAGTCTCGACTATAGACAGTTCTATAGTCTCGACTATAAACAGTTCTATAATCTCAACTATAA